GACGGTAAAATGTGGATTTCGGTGGGAAAACGAATATGTTTTTTAATTTTTTTCATTTAACGAAATGTTTCTAACATTTCGTTCTTTTCTTTTTTTTTTTAGATGAGTATGGATGTGTGAATTCAGTAATTCAGTAGGAAATCAAAGGTTTTTCTTGGTGAGAAATCGGAAGATATTTTTTTAATTTTGTTAATTTTAACGAATCTGACATTTCAACTTTTTCATTTTAGTCAGATCTGGGACGTGGATTTCAGTGGAAATTCAGAAATTTGGATCTAGGTGGGAACACAGTAATTTTAATATATTATTTTAACGAAATAGTCTCTAACGTTTCGTTCTTCTTTTTTTTTTAGACGAGTACGGAAAGTGGGGATTTTATTAAGCGAATTTAAATTACAAAGTTATAAAAATAACCGATAATGATAATGTGATTCTGGTTGAGGAAGTAATCATGAAATTACAGATTTTGAAGAAACAGAAAATGAAAACAACAGTTCCGCGTTCCCTTTGACGGCGAAATGTGAAGATCGCCTTAATATATTTGCAGACATATATCTGTTAAATCATGTTTTGACATTCGATGCAGAAAAACTAAAAAAAGACGAAGAATGATAAAGAAATGAACGCTTATGGGGATGTAAAGTGGTTGCATGAAGAAAAAGGGAGAGAAGAAACTTGATTGCAAGGAAAGAGAGAAGAGTAATTAAATGAGGATAGAAGAGGATTGAGTAGTGCAAATGAATATTCTGGTAAACAAAATCGAAAGTACATATTTCATTGAGCTACTACTAAAAAATAGAAGCTGGAGGGATATCTGGAAGGAAATAGACGGGAGAGAAAATAGGTAATAAAGTGGCTACATCTATTTGAAGAGCGAATCTATTATTGATAATAAGATTAATAATTACGATTGTTTATCTGCTAGAACAGTTGGTGTAAATCATCTTCAAGAGAGAATCTTCGAAGTCAACATCTTACGCATGGATTTTATAATTAAATTTTATAATGGATGATGAAAACTTCACCAAAAATACCCTGCTATTAATTAGTAGTGTGTGTAAAAAATGCCCACTAATTGAGGCATTATCGCTCATTTTCCGGTAAAAAGCAAATATTATTGAGGAAATTGAAAATGCAGGTACCATCAACAAAGGTTCATCTTTGTTGAATTTGAAAAATTACTAAAAAGTTGTCAAAACTTGATAAAGTTAGTTCTAATTATTGACGATGATTGTGATGGGAATTATGAGCAAGGTACAATAATTATATATATATATAATAATAATCTTTCTAATTTATTGTTTTAATTTTTATTATCAATGTATATTCATGAATCTGTGCGAAAAGTTGAAAGTTTATTATTATTAATTAGTTCTTCACTAGTATCAAAAGATGATAGGTATTTTTTAAAATAAAATAAAATTAATTCGACCCGAAACTCAGTTCTAAATATCGTTAAAATTTTGTAATCGGTTAAACATAATCGGATAAATTAATGAGTAAATAATGGTAACCGTAACTTAACCAGTTAAATATAAGATTTTGTAATAAAAACAGTGTGTGTATAAGTGTATTCAGTATTCACGATCTCAGAATCAAGTTAAAATTTTTTTCGTCATCTGATGATGATAATCCTGATGCACTTATTAAAAGATATAATATATTAAAAATGGAGATCCAAACTTTCGAACTGGGTTAAAAGGTTTTTATTAGCATATAAATTATCAAAAGCTAGAAATACAAATATTCAAGATTGGAAATAATAAATGAATAAAAGTGCAAGTAACGTCTATACAAAACTCAAGGTAAAAAATCAAAAAGATCTTGAAAATATAGAAATATAGATCCACTACGTAAAAAAAGAATGCATTAGCAGAGTCAATTAAACAGAATACAAAAAATGGAAACCAGTTGTAAAGAATTTTACTGATTATACAAGTTACAAATTGAAATTATAATTATAATATAAATTATTTTTAACATTATCAACGCCTAATTAAAAATTACAAGAGTTACATATAAAAACGCTGAAATATTATTAAAACATGAAAAATACCTATATTTCTTCGTAAAATATTGAAATTTAGGTTTTTTTACTAGGTTTCATAAAAGCAATTTTGTAGAGTAAACGCGGTTTATTAACATTTCGAAATAAACAGATCAACTTTAAAAAACTGATTAAAAAATTTAATAAAATTAATTATATTAACCATATATGGGTATGATCGCAAATGAAGTAGCTAATTATGGTAATAGCCACATCAGTGGCTGAGTGGCTTAGTGGCATGTATTTTTTTTATCATAATGAATTTTCCAAATTTTCAAAAAAGCAGCTTTTAAGCTATTACAGTATTAAGCAAGAATATATTTGATGGAAAAGCTAAATCTTTTATTTTGAATATAGTCAAATACCATAAAAATTTGTTTGTATTAGTTTAATATTTATTTAAAGTAAATTAATATATTAGAAGTATTTTATTTTAGAATTTGAGAAATATTCAGATCCTAATATACTGATATTTGATATATTAAGTATTAATACTATATTAGCTAATTATATTAAATTTATATAAAAAATTTCTTAATATATATAAGGTATTTAAACATATATACTACTTGATAAATATAAATGGTTTTGATATTTAATAAATCTTTTTTTCTTATTATTTTTTTGTAAATTAATTTTAACTAATATTAAAAACTTAAAATAAAAATTCAACTTCTTTTAAAATTTATACTTAAATATATAAAAGAAATTACTTTAATATTATTTATTTTTATAAATTATTAATTTTTTTATTATTTTTAAATTTTTTTTTTTTTTAAAAAAAAAAATGTTGAATCATGTACCATTTTATTAGAATATATTTGGATTACATAATAATCACAAATATTCTATGAATGATACTTNATATATTTGGATTACATAATAATCACAAATATTCTATGAATGATACTTCCAGCTCCAGGCCAGTCTGATCAAACATTAGATATTATATTACCAATAGAATTAAGAATAAAAGTAATCAAAAAGCAAACCAAAATAACATACTATAAACTATAAACATAAAAATTAAAATAAAAACAAAAACAAAAATAAAAACAAAATAAAAATAAAAATATTAATAAAATAAAATTAATAATTTTTAAATTTTAATGCAATTAAATTTTATAAATAAATATTAAAATTATAGTATATTTACAAATTTATTAAAATAAAGCTAGAATTTAGTATATATAAAAGTAAAAAACCAAATAATTATTCTACTATTATAATTATTCTAATATTAAATCATTCATCATTTTTTTTGAAACAGAGTGGTCATATTGGCTAATCAGATAGGCGATATATAAAATAACTATATACCATTTTAGCAAATGCTTTAAGATCATTATCTAGTAGATTATAAGAGTATAAGACTTACATTTTTAAAATATTATATAAAACATAATATATTTACTATATTATATAACTTTTACAGTTATATAAAATGAATATAGTTTTCACAATCTTTATTTCTATCAAAGGAAAAATTAGACTTCAATTTTTTTAATTAATAGAGAAACTTATTATTCTAACCAGTTTGAAAATTATAGTCAAATTACCTTCTTATTATTTATAAAAAACCAAGAGCCTGGCCAATTTGTCAAATTCTTGATTAAATTTATATATATATATATTTTTTTTTTACTAATTTTAAATTAAAAAATAATCTGAGTAGATCAAATAAATTGTTATACATTATTTATATTTAATTCTGAATTTAGTATTATTAAAATATAAAAATATATTAACATAAAAATAATTATTTTAACTAATTATATTCTAATATTATATTTTTGACATTATATAATTAAAATTACTTTAAATTTGTAAATTTATTGCTAAATAGGTTAATATTAATTGTATAAATTTCAACCTTTTATTTTATTTTTCTTATCTTACAATTAATTTTTTTTTAAGAAAAAATACTAAAATTTAAAGTAAAGTAAAAATTTAATAAAAATTTAATATTACACTTAATTATTAATAATCAACTATATAATTATATAAAAAATAAAATAAAATATATTTTTAATTTATAGATTCATAAAGTATATTTGCAGGTAGGTAAATAGGACTGGCAGGTAAGATGCAAATCATTTATAATAGAATAGATTCTTAATATTTTTTTGAAATAAAGATTATTGCTTTCTTTAAATATAATAATAATAATAATAAAATATTTTTAATTTTTTTAATTTATTAAAAAATTTAATTGTTATTTTTTTAATTAGTTTTTTGTAAATTAATATAAATAAAATAAATTTCAAATATATTTTTTTTTACAAATTTTTTTATTTTGCAATATTTGCAATATAAAAAATAAGAATAATACTAATTAAATTTTTTTTTCCACCTATTTTTAAGAATTAATATTTTAGTAAATATTAAAGTTAGAAAATAGTATAAATTTATTAAATTTGAATTATTAATTAACTAAAATATAATAGAGAAGTATAATTATAATTTAAAATTTTTAAAAATACTTCTAAAATAGCAATTCTTTGAAAATTTTATATAATTAATATATTATTAAAAATGGAATATAATGTAATAATTTTATAAAGATTTTATAATAATTTTTTAATTTTTTTATTTTTATTTTATTTATTTTATTTAAGATTTTTACTAGGGGTAATCATCACCATTGGTCAAAATTATCAATTTTTACTGGTACTATATTTTTTTAATGCTGGTCGATCATCATAATTTCAGTCACTGCCTCACTGGTGATCATCACCTTCAGTAATAGTTAGAAAAATTTTTTATTTAATTTATTTGTTTTATATTATTTAAATTTTGTTATAAATATTATTGGAATTTTACAGTTAAAATGTTAAATTAATAGTTAATTTGCAATTTAAAAGAAATAAAAGGATTTTTATTAAATTTATATATTAACAACTGGCAAAGTATTTTATATATTAATTTTATATAAAAGCAAATATTATAATAATTATTTGGCTACTAGCCTATTAATATTCATTGTAAAGTATTATTTTTAGTAATATAATTTAAAATAGTCTAATTTTACCAATAAGAAATTAACTATATATATTTTTTATCATATATAAAATTTTATATTGATTTATATAAAAATCAAATTTTTTTTAGCTAAATATTTAAGAATAATATAGTTTTATATAATTATTTAAGATTAATTGCAATTCCAATTACTTTTACCAGTACATTAATTTATAATTTATATAGGATTCAAAATAATCTATATATAAATTATATATTGTTAATCTACTAATAATTAAAAAACTGAAAATTTTAATATTTTAACAGATTAACTAAAGTTTAGTTAATTATTATAAGAAAATGATATGAAAATCTGGTATAATAGAAAAATTTTGTATATTGCAATAATTGTATAATACTTGTATTATAAATAATGCATATCACATAACTGATAATATTAAAATAAAAATTTGTTATGAATAATTATGTCGGTTCAGTCATGTGATACTGTATGTCTTGAAAAAAATATTTTCGCAAATCTAATTTACAAGATAGAAGATTGCCTACAAATTACGTGATCGAACCCAGTTCCTTAAATTATTGTTACTCAAGCAAATAGAAAATTATGAGAAAATCATTGGAAATTTATTTTAAAGCCAGATGATATTACAGTAATACCAATCTTAACTGTATTATACTATTATCAATTAATGAACATATTATTCTTTATTATGTCAACATCTCATATTTAAATTCAGAATATCGTTTATAAATTATATTTTACATTAATCGATAAAATGAAGTGTATATAATATTAAAAGAGAAAAAACAAAAATTATTGATTTTTTTCGTCCAATATTCATTTCTCGCCTCGAATAGACTTGGGGAATAATCTTCTGACCTTACAGTGCTAAAGTTTTTAGAGGCATTACCATTATAACGAGAACCTTTTGTAACACACCCGTCAAAATCTAAAACTTCATTTCCAGACGAGTTGGATTGATGTATGTCATCTTTGATTTTGCTTTGTTCACCTTCTAATAACTCGAGTTTCAAATGACAACAACCTAAACAAATTTAGAATTATATAACATATAACATTGAATAAAAATTATTAAATTAAGTGATTACTTTAATTTCGTTAAAACTGTTATCCTCATGTTTTTAAATTGTCGTTTATGTTTAATGTATCATCTAATCCAATGATCTGTGCCTTGGTCATTTCGGGAATACGGATCACTTACATTATACTTCCCTAATTTTCTCAGAGTCCTACTCTTGTTCATGATCATAGCTCTATTGAATGATAACGTTTTAATTAATATATAAAAAATAAATAAATAATAAATAATCACCTTTCAACTCTTGAGAATTTCGGCCTTAAATTTTTCAAGATTATTCCATTGTGTATCCAGTATGATTATATTCTAATTCCGCGCCATATATTCTCGTTCAATTCTTGGAGTGTCAATAGGAACTCCATTATCATCCGCAATTTGAACTAAGTCACAATCCGTTATAAGTTTCAAGAGACGACTTTTTTGATCTCCTGTAAACCAATTGTATGTCTGAATATTGAAGTACTATTCAAATATTAACGATTCAACCTTTTTTTTAAAAAAAAAAATCGACAACTTTAATAAAAATACTTACTTTCATTACTTTCAATAATTTCTTGGCAAACATGGATCTTTAGTAACAACATATTTTGATATTCATGAAAATAAGTTGGAAGCGGCTTTTTGGGAACTTCAAAGAGTTTTGCTTTGGTCTGTCCCCTCAAATCATTGACAAATTTATTAACTTTCATCTTATAGAATCATCAATTTTTGGGATATTGCTCAAGGGAGTAGTTATACTTAGTACTTTATGCGTGCGTCTTCTGTATTATCTTCGTAAGACAGTTCAATAATTTTTTTTTTTTCTTTGTTTTTTCCTTTGATAGTTTCTGTTCATTATCTGGAACGACATCAATTTTCGTTTCTTTCAATTTGTCGTTGCTTTTCGTCCTCATTGTGAGCCTTTTTACATTTAGAAGTGGGAGAAATAGGCTTTGTACGTTTTTTGTATAATGAAAGTCCAGGGTTACCATGTTGAGAGCGAGGCAGTACTTTTAGAATTAGTATTAGACATGTTAATTTTTTTTCTTTACGTTTTTTAAGAATTATTTCGCTGTAAGAAAAATTCAAAGTTCATAAGAAGAAGCAAAGAAATGCATGATGTCAAGCACATCGAGCTGTTTTTTGAATGGTACAAGCCATGTTTATCATAATTTTAGTTCGTTAATTATGGAAAGCCGTCCTTGACAAAAGGTTGATGTCCAAACATCATGAAATATAATATTTAGACATCATGATGGTATGTCTAGACATCATGTTTGATATATGTAGGATGATGTTTGTACATTATTTAATATGATGTGAAAGACATTAACCGACATGATGTCTAGACATCATGCTGATCAAATTACCAAATATAGTATATTTATGAGTTACACAAAATAAAATTTACTATATTTGGTAACATGATGTCTAAGACATCATGTTGGTTGATGCTTGAGCATCATGTTGAATGATGTACAAACATTATTCTACATATATCAAACATGATGTCTAGACATTATCCAACATGATGTCTGGATATCAACCTTTTGTCAAGGACGGCTTTCCATAGTTAATCGTTATCAAAATTACTAAATGTAGAAATATCAAATGTTTTTAAGTCACATTTACATTTGAGTACTGCTAAAAACACATGGCCGAATAAATTTCTTTTATTAGAAAAATTAATTGTGATGCTTTAACAAAGTTCTTTGCAAAAAAAAAGAAAAAAAAAATTCCGAAGATATTGCCGATGATTCTTTAGCAATAGCGCGGAAGAATCAAACACTAAACGGTTATATCTTTTGTCTCATATCATAGAAGTATTCGATCTTTTTAGTTTAATGGTTGTATTGATTTGATTTAAAGGCTGCAATCGTGAATTGTGATAGAAGAACCAATCATGTATAACGCGAAATATCGTATGATCAATTTAACAAAATTGGTATCTTGAATATTTAATTCTTTTGCATGACTTGCCCTCCTGAATTTGACCATTTGGGTAATCATTTTCATGGACTGAAGTACCAATCAAACATATTTTTCCATGAGCGTTGAAGCAGCAATTATAAATATAAATATAAGTTATGCGTCCCCCAAAAATTCTTTTATACAAAATTTAAATGTATCCATTTCTTATATCAAATAAAATGAAGAAAAAATTTGTAATTTGTAACCGATTTAGCCATACGGAATTTAAAAAAGACGTTAAAAAATCTTTAAATTTTAACACTTTAATTAAAATTTTAAATAAATTGATTTAAAAATGTCAGACATCACATCATTTTAAACGAATCTGATGGATGGGGATATGTGTTTTATAATGTGATATTGTTCGACCGTTCTAAATACTTTTCAAGCAAAAATCTAAAACTTATTTTTTATTTAAGGAGGCCGCAGCTATTATAATCTCTTGAAATTTTACGTACTCCCATCATATCAGAGAAAACAAACCTACATCAAGACTCAAGACTTCAAGTTTATTTTCTTTTTTCTTTTTCCTTTTTACTCATTTATTATAGATTTTTCTTTTTTTTTTATAGATTTTCTTTATTTGATTTGTTTGATTTTTGATATTTATAGATTTTTTCTTTTTTTTTTAATAAATTTGTTTAATCTCAATATGAATCTTACAATTTTGGCATTAATTGCGCCGGCAAGTCTCATATCTGATACATTTTGTAAGAGCAAATTTTTGTGTGAAATGATTTGTCAGTCTTTCCAAAATATTATTAAAATCTACTTTCCCATTTTTTAAAAAATAAAAGAATAAAATACGTTATTAATTTCAAATTTCAAATCTAACTAAACAAGATATTTTTTTTTAAAAAAAATGGAAAGTTACTTACGGGTTTAAATTTGATTGTTAGCTATTCCCTTTAATTAAAAATATAAATATTTTTTAATTTTGGGTCGCGTTATTTTAAAATTATAAATATCGATACTTAAAAAACTACCCTCTTCTCATCTCTAATGGTTAGCATACGATTTCAATTTTACGAAGGAATTCTCTGCGCTATAATATGAGCGATAGTGATAAAAGGGAAAATGGTTATAATGTACACTGTTCATTTTTACCTCCACTAAAATATTTATAAACGTTAAGCACAATCGATCATTAATTGATAATATAGGATACAGCATACAAGGACCCCGAAATATATGTATAAAGATGACAGAAAAAATACGCATTTATCATCATGTGATTTGCCCATCAAACTTTGATGTAAAATTTATACGTAAAAATAGTAAAAATATTATATTAAATATTATATATAATAATACATTCAATAAATATGTTACATAAATATTTGTCATTTTTTTTTAATTAAATTTTTCGACTAAAGTAATCATAAAATATGCCTAATAATTTCATAACACAGGTAATTTGAGAATCCATAAATCTTTATATATATTTTCTTTTATAAAAAGAATAATTCTAAATATTTAAAGCGTAATTGTATTTAAAATATTGATCCTACAAGCATGAAATTATTATCATTAGAATTGTTTTAATTAGATGAATCTAATGATAAAAATATATTTCTTAATATGTGGATTTTAAAAATTTAAAATTAGTGAACTTCATAAACTTTGCAAAATTATGTAATATTAAATATTATATTGGACCTTAAATTGAGCCTCAAATTTTATATAATTCAATTAATATATTGGTTGCCTAGGGTTCTTAATTAATATTGATCATTGATTGATTCAATCAATGACTCGATCACAAAATATTAGATTGCCTTGCCAAGACGCATGGTGAATCATCTGGACTTTGAGTTATCTAAATGCACTTCTCTCTCCACCTTTTATGATGATCGCATCATTTATGTGAATCTCCGACACTTCCTGAATGATCAGTTTGAACAACTTTATTTCTGTAACTTTTTCCTTCCGGCGATATACATCTCAAGCTCATTTGTTTTCCCGGTCTTATTTCTGGAAATTTCTCCGTTTCACCCTTTACGATCACCCGAGAGCTTCTTTCCGTTCCAACGATGTCAATCGATTTGGTATGTTAATTACTGATTCTAATACGATAATAATATTAATGCATTAAAAGATAACATTTCTCCTTAATAAAATTATTAATGAAAATATATCGTAAGACCAAACAGTCAGGCAGCCTCGATTAAAATTGAACTATCAAAATTGGTCGATTATGGAATCTGGCTGCATAAAAAATACTTTGGAACATCATAGTAAAGATATTAATAATATGAAATGAGTAAAAAATGTGAAAATTCATTGTATAAAGTTTCACGTGATCTTTGTTAAGGATTTTCGTAAATATATATATTAAAACGATAAATAATAAATAATAATGATCAATATCAAAGCCGACAGGATATTTTATAACAATTTTCAGTTGAGCCATAACTTTGCTGTTTTGCAAATATTTTCAAATCCGTATGACATTTTTTGCTAAATCTATTAACGAGATCATCGAACATGACATTTGGAGTATCTCTCATGGCACAATTAACTTCAGAATTTTATCCGCTAATCCTCAATCGGACGAATATGTTGTGCCCCAAGTTGCGATCTGCCCCGATTTAAAATTGGGGCAGATCCATTTTGCCCGAAATTGAAATTTCAATTTTGGGCAATCCAACTTGAAATTTCGAAATGGGGCACAGACATTTTACTGCCCGAAATTTTGATTTTGGGTCATGTGACTTATATGATCATCAAAAATCATTGGCTTTCAATTTGTTTGTGAAACTGTTACGCAAAATTTTGTACACATGATTCCGATGTTACAAGTCGATATACAACCAGTCGACAGATTAACCTAATAGATAATATTGATTATATTTGATTAATTTACACATATAGTATTATTATGTATATTCATTTTTATTATTGTTTATATTATTAATTTTCTGTATTTGTATTGTTTATATGTATACGATTTTTATTAAGATTCATTGTAGAATAATTAGCTCAATAGTAATTAACCGTTCAAATTTATCATTTGTGTTCTATTAAAATGTGGCTTACAATAAAACTGTCACCATTGTAATTACATAGATATATTATAATGAAACACTAACAATCTAGATAGATATATGATGTCAATAGGAAATCAATAGATTAGATTTCGCCCTTAATATCAGAAAAAGAGATGTCAGTTAGATAAAAATAGATATAAATATACCTTCTGCCAACTCACTGATAGAAGTAGTGTCAGAATAGTGAAAAAGTGTTCAGAAATCATAAGAGTATTAAGCATTAATTAGTTTTCCCTTGAATTCTTTTAAGTTATCACTTTTATTGTTTTGGTTATAAAACAATAATCCTACGTTTATTCAATAAAAGCATTATACTTCAGTTAACTCCAACTTGTCGTTTCTTTTGTTATCAATCCTTTTTTTCGTGTCTCTCCACCCTAAATTTTATAAAAAAATTTTTTATCATGGAAACAGAAGAATTTTCTTTTATTAGTAAAGATACTTTTAATAAAATTATTGATAAATGTATACAAAACAGTAAATCTAAAACATCTGAAAAGCAATTTATAAATAGACACCTTTATGATGAAATAAAAACAGTTCTTTTAGATCATGTTTCTACATTACGGGATGCAGACTTTCGTTATTGGTGTAGAAAGAATTTCATTTTATTAAATACTGGAGGTGATTCTGTTGTATGTAAAAATAATAATAAAAGAACAAAAACAGCTTTAGATAAAGAAGGTAAATCTGCTGATTTTTTACCAATATTAGTCTTAGAAGAAATGTATAAAACAATTTGTTTGGAGCATGTACAAAATGTTCATTGTGGACAAAAAAATTTGTATAGAAAATTAAGAAGCAAATGGTATGGGGTGAAAAAGAAGATTATAGAGGAGTTTGTGAATCATTGTGAAATATGTGTACCACGCAGAACTATGTCCAAATCCACCTTAGCAGCAAGGCCTATAGTTGCGAAAAGATTTCTTTCGAGAGTACAGGTAATTTTAATGTTTGATTTTTAGCTTCTGTTTGATTACTTTACCTCCTGTTTAATTTGCTATATTTTTTTATAATATTTAGATGGATTTAGTTGATTTACGTCAGTATTCTGACAATGATTTCAAATATATCTTACATGTAAGAGATCATTTTTCCCGTTATTCATGGGCAAAACCCTTAACTTCTAAGGAACCCGCAGCTATTGCAGGGATATTATATGAAATTTTTTGTCAATTTGGACCTCCAATTATTTTGCAAAGTGATAATGGCAAAGAATTTACTGCACAAATAATTAAAAATCTAGTAGACTTATGGCCTGGTTTAAAATTGGTAAATGGTAGACCTAGGCATCCACAATCACAAGGCTTAATAGAAAGAGCAAATTCTATTTTAGAAAAAAAAATTGGAATGTGGATGGAACAAAATAATTCAATAAATTGGACTTTGTGCTTAAATTATGTTATTTTTACTATGAATAATACTATATGCCGAGCTACCAATAAAACTCCATATGAAATAGTATTTGGTATGCATCCACACAGTGATAT